GTCGGGGGCGGGGGGCCAACCGACCCACCCCCTGGTGCCCGCTGGCCTTCACAGCCCTGCTGCCGCCCGCGCATCGTGCAGGCCAGCTGCTGGTGGGCCTGGCAGACGCGCGGCGCTGGCACTTTGGCATCACCGTCGTCACTTACCTCATCACGCTGGCCTCCCGCGGCGGCATGGCCCTGCTCCACGGCTTTGCCGCGCATCTGCTGCTCATCCTGGCCAGCGAGGCCTGCCAGTCCCCCTTCAGCATCATCACAGATGCAGCCATCGCGGCGGCCACCAACGAGGCTGGCTACACCCGCAAACGGGTGCTGGCATCGCTGGGGTGGGGAGGTGGGTGGACTGCCGGCATGGCAGGCCGCTCGCGCGGTGCCTGGGGCTCTGCCACCTAGCCAGCTGGCGGCTGCTGCACCTGCCACAAGCCAGCGTGCCATGTCCGCCGCCGCTGCCCCCACCGCTGTGCAGCCCTGGCGCCGCTGAGCGGGTGGATCGTGGGGCGCTGGGGCGTGCCTCACAGCATCGCCGTCTACTTTGGGCTGGTCAGCCTGGCCCTGCTGCCCACCCTGCTGCTGCCGCTGAGAGGTGATCTGCCTCTAGCGATGTGCGTGCAAGCCAGCAATGCAGGCGTGCTTCTGCTCAGCCTGCAGCATCAACCGCTGCGCCAAGCGCCACCCTTTACGCAAGGGCTGAAACCCTACCGTCCTCTGCCTGGCCGCCTGCAGAGCTGGGGCGCAAGGCCACGGCCAGCAAGGAAGCAGACGCGCTGGGCGGGGGCAGCACCATGCAGCTGCTCCTCAAGGCGGGCGGCACCCTCGGCCAGCTGGACAGCCGGCAGCACAACGGGCACGCCGCTGAGCTGGCCATTGAGCTGACTGATGCGGATGCGCTGGTGCCCAAGGCGGCGGCTGATGGCTGCCTGCTTGTGGAGCGCATCGCCAGCAAGGCCAGCCAGGCAGAGGTGGGCTGGTGGTGCGCAGGCATTCCTTGCGGTGCATCCAGTTTCTTGGTGAAGACTGTGCTGCCTGCCGTCCATGCAGGGCCCTGGCATCATGCTGCACCCCCTGGTCACCACAGCAGACGAGGATGCCGCCGGGGAGGCTGTCGCCACCGCCAAGGCCGCAGCAGCCGAAGCCGCGCAGTCTGCCGCTGACGAGGCGGCAGCGGCTGCCGGCGGCGAGGAGGCCTGGAGCATTCCGGCCGTGGGCAGCCCGCTGGCAGCGCAGTGCGGCAGCCTGCCGCCGATTGCCTGCCTGCACCAGGCTGCGTCCGACGCCAATGCTCTGCTGCCCAGCACCGCGACGGGCTCCACGCCAGGAAGCACCCTGCCTGTTGTCCCGCTCGCCAGCGCAGCCCCCCAGCCCTCTGCCCTGGCTCGCACCACCAGCAGTGCCAGCACAGCATTCTACAGCGCGCGCAGCGGCTCCAGCTACAGCGCTGTGCCCACCGCCAGCACTCCAGCTGGCATGCTGTGGAGCCCGCGTGGCGCCGGCGGCCTGGCCCTCGGCCAGCCCCGCTCCGCGCTGCTGCAGCAGTACATGGGTGCAGCGAGGCAGGGCGGGCCCAGCACGCTCAGCACGCCGCACACCACGGCGCCTCTGGCGGCGCCAGCGGCGCCAGGGCCGACGCCGCAGCTGCAGCTGCAGCCGCAGGGGTCGCTGCTCAAGCAGGTCAGCAACGTATCGCAAGCGCTCAACGGCTTCGACCAGTCCTTTCTGGAGGGCTCAGTGTCAGGTGGGGAGGCAGCAGGCTCAGGGCCACTCTCGTGATCCTGAGCAGCAAGGCTCTGTGTCGGGGGCCACGGCTGCATTGCATCCCGCAACGCTTTGCAGCACAGTGGTTGATAGTCTGCTGCAAATGAAATGAAATGAAAATGAGTGCATGCAGATGGCACATACCTGACGCCGCGCGCCGGCAGCTTCCTACCGCCGGCCGTGGAGCTCAGCCTGCCGGAAGTGCGCACGGTGCACCCGCCACACTTTTTGGACGGGCGCCAGCAGAGCGCTGGCGAGAGCGGCAGCATCCGACTGTCAGATTTCAGCCTGCGGCTGACAGACGGCAGCATCCGGCAGTCGACAGAGGGCAGCCAGCGGCTGTCGTGGCGCCGCCGCAGCAGCCTGCTGCCGCCCGGCAGCCTGGAGACAGCCAAGGCGCCGCTGGCATTTGCAGAGCCGGGCGCCACACCCGCTGGCGGCATGGGCGCCAAGGAGCCGCTGCTGCTGGCCACTTCAAGCCTGGGGGAGGAGCGAACAGATGAGGTGGCTGTTCCCATCAGCAGCCACGCTGGTGTTAGGGATGTCGAGGATAGCAGCCAGCATCTGCTGGGGGCTGCAGCCACGCCGGGCTCCCCAGGCGGCGCCCCCGAGCTGTCGGTGTGGGCGGGCATCCGCCACCTGCTGTCCAACCCGCACCACGCCGCCTTCTTTGCCACCACCTGGCTGATGGGCATCGGGTAAGGCTGCTGCTGCTGCTGCTGTCCTGTTGTGCCAATGCAGCAGCAACATGCAGCTGGTGGAGCAGCAAGAATCGGTGCCTGTGACTTCAGAAAGCAACGTGCCTGATTCCCTGTAATGCCTGCCCTGCCACTGTAATCTGAACGCCCGCTGGCCTGTACTGCAGGTACGGCTGCCTGGGGTACGAGAACCTGTACCTCAAGGAGAGTGGTGCCCCCGGCATCCTGCTGGGGATCGCCATTCTGGTCAGCACCTGCGGGGAGATGCCCATCTTCTTCACCGCGGGGTGGTGGCTGCCCAAGCTGGGTGCGCGGCATGGGGCAACTGCGGAAACAGATCTGGCACCGGCATGACCTGCGTGCTGTGGTTCAGCTTGCCACGTGGCACATGCACGTCGCCACATTTTGCCGCCCCGCAGGCCACGAGCTGGCGTTCAATGTGGCGATGGCTGGCTGGGTGGTGCGCCTGGCGCTCTACACACTGCTGCCGCTCTTCCCATCGCCCTGGTGTGTGCTCCCGGTGGAGCTGCTCCAGGGACTCACCTTTGCAATGGGTGAGTGAGCACGGCAGCTGGCTTTGCTGGTTTGCGACCCGGGCCGACAGCTGCCAGCTGGGCCGCTCAACCGCCGCTCCAACTCCCCGTTGTGTTTTGCATGCAGCCTACGGCGTGGGCACGGTGCACGCCAAGGCCATCGCCCCGCCCCACCTGCGCTCCACCACCCAGTCCATGTTCTTCTCGGTGAGCGCTGGGGGCAGCTGGGAGCAGCTGGGAGCAGTTCTGCAGATAAAGTTGCTGCCATGCACTGCTTATCGGCTGCCCCCCCACCCCCCACCCACCCCACCCGCGCAGCTCTACTACGGCGTGGGACCCGGCATCTCGGGCCTGGCGGGCGGCTACATCTACCAGGGGCTGGGCATGCGCTGGGTGTTCATCCTGGGGTCGGCCACCCTGGCGGTGGGCTGGGCAGCCATCCAGCTGGCGCTGCGCTGGGCCACACGCGCCGAGCGGGCGGCGGCCGCGGCGGCCCGCAAGCTGGCGCCGTGATTTCTAACCCACCACTTGCGCATTCATCCTTCGTGGGTCCGGCTGCTGCGAGTGAACACCCACAGTACTGCATTCTGCTGCCAATCCAGCTCTGCTAATCCTGTTCATGTGCCTATGTTTGCGTATTTCGCTGCCTTCTACCCCAAAGACCCTGCCTCCTGCCTGTCTGCGCGATGCACAGGTTGGTTGCAGTGTCAAAGCCGTCATAACTGAGTAACTAAGTCAGAGGAGGAGGGTGCAAATACATCAGCGAGGGGAGGGAGCATGCAGCAGCAGGGAAAAAAGCAGTGAAACAGGAAAGGGTGGGTGACGCATGGGCCGAGCTGCCAAGACGGCCTCACTTGCCGGGCTCCATATAGCTGCAGGGGCCACAGGGGTGTGAAGACAGGCAGGCAGGTCGGCACAAGAGGGACGGCAGCAGCGCGTCCATGGCACCTCCGTTGAAGCAGCTGGGGGGCGTGTAATGTAGAGGCACGCCCCCCCCACACGCAATGTCCCGGCCTGCAAGCTGCAAACCCCAACCGTCCAAACCCACGCTGGGCATCTACACCAACCATGCAGAGCTGCAACCTCGCTGGGCTAACTGAGTCGCTGTTTGCTACTGATGCACAGTTGCTGTTTCCCAGCACTGTCTGCGCGGCAGGGCGCCCACCTGACGATGGAGCCTATCCAGACGATGGTGAGGAAGGTCATGAGCACCACAGTCACCACCACCGGCAGCACCCGGTTGTCGTAGGGGCCGTCCAGCTTCTGGCTGCAGCCGGCGGGCGGGGTGGGCAGGCGGGCAGGCTGGTCAGCGCACACGGGCAGGAAAGCGCAGCTGGGCAGCGCGTTGGCAGGGAGCGGAGATGGGAGCCTGGAGGCGCCAGCTCTGGCCCCCGGCTGCGCGCCACAGCCTCGCCGCCGCCAGCTGCCCGCTGCCCGCTGCCACTCGCATGGCTGCGCCGTTGCCACTGCGTCCGGCTCGCCCCGTCTCATGTAACACAGCCCCACGCTCGCCCACTCACACAAGCATGTCTCCGCGGCGCTTGAAGTTGAAGGCTGCATAGACGGCCATGCCAATGGAGATGGCCATCATCACGAGGGCCAGCACCCGCACCCCCACCGCCCGCACCGTGAAGTCGGAGCCCCAGTGGCGGTGCGCGTGGCCCGCCACGCCCAGCAGCGCGGCCGAGATGGAGCCCGTCGTGACCGACATGTTCATCCAGTGGAGGAAGGTGCGCTCGTTGGCGAAGAAGGCCTTGGCCTCCGTCCGGCGAAGGCCCGGCTGGCTGCTCATGGCTGCCGGCTCGGGGCGCTAGGGCTGGTGAGCGGCAGGGCCTGCAGGGGCGCAGAGTGCGAGGCGAGGTGAGAAGGCAGGCGGCGCTCCCGCCCGTCGCGCCCCGCGCCCGCCCTGTACGCCCGAGCTGCCTGCCGCGGCTCCCATTGGCGTCCACGCATCGCCCAGGCTTTCTGGGATGCTGCTGGGGGGGCTACCAGGCCCGATTCTGCACCGTGAAAAGGGGCGCGCTGCAAAACCGCAGCCGGCGCTGCTGATGTTGAATGAGCGACCTCACCTAGCAGAAGATTGTGCCTGCAGCGCAGCCAAACGCCGAACGAGCCTAGCCGCAACTTGCCCTGACCAAAATACTGGCTTGCAGCGTCTGTAATCAGGTGCACACAAGCCTCCAAGCCCGGCAGAACAAGGGGATTGACGAAATTGCCCGAGTTTTGCCGCCCGCATTGCGTATTCCGAATTGATGCCGAGTCACGGATGCCCTGGCTGCCCATCACCTCCCTGGGCGCGCCTCTTGCGTCAGAGGCAATTGTGATCATCAAGATTCAAGCTAGCCACAGCGGGTGGAGCCCTACCCTGCAGCAGGGGCACACCAGGTCGCTCACTGCTTGCAGCTCCCGGCCTCTCCTGGTGGGGAAACATCCGGGGCGAAGCAGCAAACTGATCCAAGCCATCCCAGCCCTCGCCGTCCCGCGAACAAGGGTTGCTAAAAGCAACAGGCGCCATGAAGGTGAGTTGGGGCCCAGGCGGTGGCCAGCAGGGCTCAGCGGGATGAATATCGAGGCTGTGAAACCGCAGCCAGCATGGCCCTGCCCCTGGCCGCGGCCGCCGCCGCCGCTGCCACGCTCGAGCCGACCTGCCTTGCCCCTCTACTCCTGCCTGCTGCTGGCAATTTGCACTGCTGCCGGTGGTCCTGCTGGTGGATTGCGATGCGCCCTCTGCCCCTCCCAGGGTGCAGATCGCCCTCTCCCCCTAGGCCGCAACGCGCACTCTGCCCTGCCGCCGTTTGCCTGCCCTCCTCTCCGCTGCCTCGCGTCACGTGCGCCGTTTGCTGCCTGCCCCGTGCAGTTTGGAAAGTACGTGCTGGAGAAGCAGCGGGCGGAGTGGTCCGACCAGTATGTCGGTCAGTGCGCAAGCCTGCACCCGCAGCCCTTGCTTCCAACACGCCGCCGCATCCAACCCAACCCTGCCCCGTTCACCCGTCGCCGCTTTCCTCCACCGACCTCTGCTCTGCACCACCCTTCTGCTTTCCTCTTCCTTGCAGACTACAAGGGGCTCAAGGACCTCATCAAGGAAAGCGCGGCGGAGGAGGCGACGGCGGGCGTGCAGAGCTTCTCGCCCCGCACCACCTCCCTCACCGTGCAGCGCGCCGCCGACCGCCGCGACTCCGGTGCGCGGCTGCTGCCCCGGCGACGTGTGCCCTGCCAGCGGTGCCGCTGCTCCGGCGGGAAGGCGTGGAAGCAGCAGCGCTGCCGGGCCGTTGGACGGCAGCAGCGCGCGGCAGTCTGGCCCGGCGCCACCACGCCCGGCCCCTGCTTCAAGCTGCCCATGCCCCCATCATCTCCACCGCTCTTCCGTGGCCCCACCTCCCATCCTCGCCTCCACTCATCCAGCGACTGCCCCTGCCCTCCCTGCCCACCCGCCGCGCCGCAGCCGAGGAGCGCTTCTTCCAGAAGCTGGAGTCGGAGGTGGACAAGTGCGGCAAATTCACCGCCCGCCTCGTGTCGGAGCTGCGGGAGCGGTTGAAGCAGCTGCAGGGGCGCGTGCGCGCGGCGCCGGCCGGCGACGAGCCGCAGCGCGAGTTGCTGTTGGAGGCAAGCCCGGGTCGCGGGGCCGGGGCCCTAGCCGCGGGGCGCCGGGAGCACGCCGCGCCTCACGCTCCGGGGCCGCTTGCTGCCCTGGTGTGCGGCTGCGTGCCCAGGCGTTGCCACTCATGCCATGTGCCCGGCCTGCTTTCCAATCCTGGTTCAGGAGGCGAAGTCCATCGGCGACGAGTTCCTGCAGCTGGAGAAGTACGTCAACCTCAACTACATGGGATTCCACAAGATACTGGTGGGCAGGCTGGGGCGGGCCGTGGGCGGGCCATGCGCAGGGCGCGGCGCGCGGGCCTGCCACGGCGCAGTCGTCTTGCTGCTGGCGACCAGTGTGTGGCCACACGCATGTGTGGCCCTCCCGGCTGCATGCGAACCGTCCCCAGGGGGCACCAGCAGGTGCCAGCAGGTATCACCAGGGCGGGTCCCACTCGGTACCATTGGGACCGAGCGGGACGGGCCTGTACAGGGCTTCATTTTTGGGGGTCCATTCCTTGGGGCATGCACCAGCCTCCCACGCTGTTGCCTCAACCTCGCCGTCCCCCGCTGCCGCCTGCCCGCCCGCCTGCAGAAGAAGCACGACAAGATGCTGCCGCACTCCCCCTGCCGCCAGTTCTACATCTCCCACCTCCACAACCAGCCCTGGGTGCAGGTGGGCGGCAGGAGGCAGGGGAGAGGCAGGATGAGAGGCAGATGCCTGGCCTGCGGCGGGGCCCGCGTTCGCCGGCAGCGGCTCTGGCAACCAAAGAGCTTGCTGCTCACCTTTGCTCCCTTGCACGCCGCCCACCCCTCCCCTCCCGCAGGGCAACTACTCCGACTTGCTGGTCGTCCTTTCCTCGGTCTACTCGGACCTGCGGGGAGATGCCTCCGCCGCGCAGGCCGACGACAGCAGCCAGGTGGGCACTGCTGGCGTGGGGAAGACAGCCGCATCCCATGCCGCCGCCCTGCCCCCCTTTCCCCCGGCTCCGCACTGCTGCCCTGCCGCTCCACATCCCGTCCAGCACCATCAGCCTTGCCTCTCTACGCGCTCTCAAACCATCCTCGCCGCTCCACGCTGGCCCCACCTACCATCCCCGCTGCCACACCGCCACCCCACCCACATTCCCCGCTGCCACACCGCCACCCCCACCACCACCGCACCTCCTCCACCTGCCTGCCCACCTACCCCTGCCACCCTCCCCCGCAGGGCATGGTGCGCTCCACCACCAAGTACTGGGTGCGCATGAGCGACGTGTCCACCGTCAAGCACCACATCCTGCAGCACCTGCCCGTCTTCCAGTTCAACCAGGGCCGAGACTTCACGGGCGACGCCCAGCTGGTCAACTCGGGTGGGCGCCGGGGCGGGGTGGGGTGTGGCGGCGGCGGCGGCGTGCGTGAGTGTGTGTGTGGTGTGTTCTGAGGGCGTCTGGGCGACTGTTAGTTTGGGGGCGCGGTGGCGGTGGCGGCGGCGGGCGTCTCCTGCTGCCCCCTGCCGCTCCACCCCGCCTCCCGCGCTCCGCCCCACCCGCACGCCACCCATAGCCCAGCCCTACCGCGCGCCCCTAACCACCACTGCTGCCA